CTTTCTCCTGCCATGGGAAACGTTTCAAGACCTGCTTACGATGAGGGTGATGTCCCGGAGGGGGTTGTGGTCTGCTCTGTGTCGTCGTTAGATTCAGGTGGGCAGCGTGTCGGTTTGAAGCAGCAGAACAGAGTTTGAGTCCGGTGTCACCTTGGAGGCCAACAAAATTTTATGCAGGCACACAAGAGCCTATACCGGGGATCTTTGTTGGTCTTAAAGGTGCCACTGGACTCAAACTTCTTGTGTTTCAGTTTAGGTAAAGGTAAAGGTTCCCTTGCTCGAAAGCCAGTCGAATCCGAATCTAGGGTTGCGATGCTCATCTCCGTTTCAAAGCCGAAGAGCCAGCGCTGTCGAAGACGTTTCCGTGGTCATGTGGCCGGCATGACTAAACACCAAGGCGCACAGAACGCTGTTACCTTCCCACCGAAGTGGTACCTATTTATCTACTTGCAATTTCTTGCTTTCGAACTGCTAGGTTGGCAGGAGCTGGAACTAGAGACGGGAGCTCACTCCGTCATGTGGCAACTCAGGTCTCGAACTGCTGAACTACCGACCTTCCACAGCCTGCAGTTCAGCATCTTAACCACTTTATTGTAATTAGCCATTGGCCGCTACAAAATTACAAAACACAAATTGTGAACAAACTATAGGTTAATACCAGAATATATAAAAGTGCCAGAAATCAATGACCAAATATAACACAGTAGCCTGAATAATGCCCCTTCCCGATGCCACCTTGGAACGTATGTTCTTTGCAGCAAGGGCAAATAATGAAACTTTATAAGAGACAGAGGCATCAGTGTCAGATAGCAAAAATGAAATTTTATCCTCAGCTGGGTAAGCACGAAGACCAGATGAAATACCTGCTAACTCTGGTAATTCTGGATCGGTTGGGCCGGTGAACGCAAATGCGGGTGAGAATTGCAGGGCCATGGCTTGTTCTTCAGTTTGCTTATTTACTCTATTTAAATCCCATCTTTCTCCTCCACGGGAACACAAAGTGGCTTACGCCCTCCTCCTCTCCTCCACGTTATCCTCACAACAAACCTGTGCGGTAGGTTAGGCTGAGAAGATGTAACTGACCAAAAGTCACCCAGCAAGATGCAGTGGCACAAGTTGGGATTTGAACCTGGAATTCCCAGATCCTAGTCTGACGCTTTAACCGCTGCACCATGCTGGCAGTCTTCTGCTCTGCTGCGTCGCCCCCTGGTTTTGCTTTGTAGCTTGTGCTTCTGCAGTCCCCCGTGGTAAAAGCTTCCCCCCCCCCCCCGTGGCACCTCTCTAGGGGTGACTTTGAATTTCTTGTCTGCGGTCCCACCCCACCCCGGTTGCTTCTCCCTCCTGGGAACTGACCTTTTGATTGTTTTGCGCCGTTCCTGTAAAGCATGTGTATACAACCGCCACACGGTTGGCGTATAAAGACGATGCGGCATATGTAAACCCGACAAAACCATTGACAAAGAGCAGGGGCACTGACACAGGTGACAGAGAGTGAGTATAAATGGGCAGTTCTCTCAGTGGAGGGTGGTAAGCAGTGGGGTACCACAGGGATCAGTACTTGGTCCACTGCTTTTTAACTTGTTCATTAATGATTTGGAGTTGGGAGTAAGCAGTGAAGTGGCTAAATTTGCGGATGATACAAAGTTGTTCAGGGTGGTGAAAACCAGTGAGGATTGTGAGGCACTCCAAGGGGATCTGTCAAGGATGGGCGAGTGGGCGTCAACATGGCAAATGGGGTTCAATGTGGCCAAGTGCAAGGTGATGCACATTGGAGCCAAAAATCCTAACTATAAATACACGTTGATGGGGTCTGAACTGGCAGAGACTGATCAAGAGAGAGATCTTGGAGTTGTAGTAGATAACTCACTGAAAATGTCGAGACAGTGTGTGACTGCAATAAAGAAGGCCAATGCTATGCTGGGGATTATTAGGAAGGGTATTGAAAAAAGATCAGGCAATATCATAATGCCTCTATATAAATCAATGGTGCGACCTCATTTGGAATACTGTGTGCAGTTCTGGTCACCACACCTTAAAAAGGATATTATAGCTTTGGAAAAAGTGCAGAAAAGGGCAACTCGAATGATAAAAGGGTTGGAACACTTTCCCTATGAGGAAAGGTTAAGGCGCTTAGGGCTCTTTAGCTTGGAGAAACGACGACTGAGGGGAGGCATGATTGAGGTTTATAAGATTATGCATGGGATAGAGCATGCCTCCCTTTCTCACAATACAAGAACCCGTGGGCACTCCATGAAATTGCTGAGCGGTCGGGTTAGAACGGATAAAAGGAAGTACTTCTTCACCCAAAGAGTGATTAACACATGGAATTCACTGCCACAGGAAGTGGTGGCGGCTACAAGCATGGACGGCTTCAAAAGGGAATTAGATAAGCATATGGAGCAGAGGTCCATCAGTGGCTATTAGCCACAAGGTATATAGATAGGGGCTCTGGGGCAAGTGATGCTCTGTCTTCTTGGTGCTTGGGGGGGGGTCAACAGTGGGAGGGCTTCTAATGTCCTGGCCCCACTGGTGGACCTCCTGATGGCACCTGGTATTTCTGGCTACTGTGTGATACAGAGTGTTGGACGGGATGGGCCTTTGGCCTGATCCAACATTGGCGTCTCTTATGTTCTTAAAACAATTTCTATTGATGGGGATTAAGTGGGGAGTATTTGCTTGCCTCTCACCGTCCCTCCGTCCCTTGTAATAAGACAAAATGCGCAATGCCTTCACGTTCTGTTTCCTTGCCCATGTCGTCGTCTGCCCAACACATTGGGGGAGGGGGGATTTGTGCTTCTGTTGTGCTGAATCACCTTGCATTGCTTATTTGACAACTACCCCTGAAGCAGGGCCATGACCTGGACGACCCAGGCTAGCCCGATCTCATCAGATTTTGGAAGTTAAGCCAGGTCGGCCCTGGCTAGTATTTGGATGGGAGACCTCCAGAGAAGTCCAGGGTCGCTACGCAGGGGCAGGCCATGGCAAACCACCTCTTGCCATGATAACTCTAAGGCATCGCCATAAGTCATCTGTGACTTGATGACATAAAACAAAACTAAAGTGGTGGCGGCGGGTTGTGTGTGTGTGGAATAGTGGATTGACTGTTTCTGGCCAGTAACATCTTGGTCCAGCATAACATAAGAACATAAGAGAAGCCAATGTTGGATCAGGCCAAAGGCCCATCCAGCCCAACATTCTGTATCACACAGTGGCCAAAAATACCAGGTGCCATCAGGAGGTCCAGCAGTGGGGCCAGGACATTAGAAGCCCTCCCACTGTTGCCCCCCCAAGCACCAAGAAGACAGAGCATCCCTTGCCCCAGACTGAGAGTTCCTTGTGGCTAATAGCCACTGATGGACCTCTGCTCCATATGTTTATCCAATTCCCTCCTGAAGGTGTCCATGCTTGTAGCCGCCGCCACCTCCTGTGGCAGTGAATTCCATGTGTCAATCAATCTTTGGGTGGAGAAGGACTTCCTTTTATCTGTTCTAACCCGACTGCTCAGCAATATCATTGAGTGCCCACGAGTTCTCGTATTGTGGGAAAGGGAGAAAAGTACTTCTTTCTCTGCCTGCTCTATCCCAGGCATAAATCTTATAATGTGAGGATCAGAAATCCCATCAACCCCGGCTTGCTTCTTGTGAACTTTGGGGAAAGTGAATAAAAAAGACTTGTTCCCGACAAAGGAGGTTGCAAGGAGGTTGCGTAAGGAGGCAAAGGTCATCCCCCCCCCTTCGGGCATGCTGGCGCATAGAGGCCCCCATCCTCCTTTAATCACCTTTGCTGAGCTTGTTGTAAGTCAGCGTGGTTATTTTTTCCCCCATCCCCAAAAGGAAGTGAACTCCTGTGACCCTGCTGGTGGTATAAGCGAGTTAGCTGACAGATGGTTCTTCTCACGTGCTGCTCCTGTCCCTGACTTCTTGTCATTAATGGAAGTGTTTCTGTGTCTTTCTCCCCCCCCCCCCCCCCTGGGTAGTGAAGGGCGGGGTATAATCTCTTTTCTTCTTCTAATACCCAGTTGGAAGAGGCAGTCGGAGATGGAGTCCCCATTTGGCCGGCATGACTAATGTGATGTTAGATAAAGACTTCCAACTCCAGGCAAAGCCGAAGGAGTTGGAAAGCATGCAGGCATAGCGACTAAAAGCCTGACCTTCCTCAGGTCTGAACGAAGCTGACCAAAACATCCGACCGGCCTGCTTGGTCTGCAATCAGTGGTTTGAATCACGCCCGTCCTGCCCATTTGGTGTAGCGGTTAAGTGAGCGGACTCTAATCTGGGAGAACCGGGTTAGATTCCCCACTCCTCCGCTTGCACCTGGCTGGATGACCTTGGGCAAGCTGTAGTTCTGATAAGAGCTGTTCTTGAAAAAGAGCCGTTTCTGTCAAGAGCTCTCTCAGCCCCGCCTACCTCACAGGGTGTCTGTTGTGGGGAGGGGAAGGGAGAGGAGTTTGTAAGCCGCTCTGAGACACCTTCGGGTAGTGAAGGGTGGGGGATAAATCCGATCTCTTCTTCTTCTTTTACCTCACAGGGTGTCTGTTGTGGGGAGGGGAAGGGAAAGGAGTTTGTGAGCCGCTCTGAGACACCTTTGAGTAGTGAAGGGCGGGCTATAAATCCAATCTCTTCCTTCTTCTCACCCCTAAACCCTTTCCCCCCTCCAGGTTCGACGATAAATACACCCTGAAGATGACCTTCATCAGCGGCCGAACCAAGCAGCAGCGGGAGGCGGAGTTCACCCGGTCCATCGCCAAATTCCTGGACGCCAACGGCACCTTAGTCATGGAGGCCTTCGAGCCGGAGGTCTCCAAGCTGCACGACAGTCTCCTCACGGAAAGGAAGACGAAGTAGGCCACGGCCGAGTCTCTGCCTTCCTGCCGGGCGCGGGCCAAGAATAAGCCAATAAAAAGCAAAATAGCAACGAATGTTAGCCTCTGTGTTTGTCCCGAAAACCCTCCGCCATCTTTGCCTTTCTCCCCCCCCCCCCCCCCCATTCTGCCCCTCCAGTGTGCTGCTCTGGTTGGTGAAGACCAGCCCCTTTGCCCGGATCTTCCCGAACTCGACCTCTCTGAACTAGACGTGAATGACTTGGATGCGGACAGCTTCCTGGGCGGACTCAAGTGGTACAGCGACCAACCAGAGATCATTTCCAATCAGTACAACAATGAGTCATCAAATATCTTTGAGGTAAGGGAAGGCGATTCTACATAAGCAATTTTTAAACAATGGTACAAATGACAAGCTTAACCGTCTCTGTTCTCGATGATTATTTTTTTTGCAAGCCAAAATTATTTTTTCCAACGTTACAGTCAGGAGTAGGGAAATGAATCTGATTCTTTGGTGATGGATTAAGATTTTTACACACTGACTGTCTGGAGCAGTGGAATAAAATCCATGCTTTTAAGTGTCAATATTCGCATTTTAGGGGATCGCCTGAAATTTATCTCCAAAGAAGTGAGAACATTTTTCCTCCCAGCTTTCTGATTTCACAAGCACCGATCCATTGGGAGAGGGTGTGTGTTGTCGGCAGAATTTAATACATTGGAGATTATGGACAGGTGACTGCCCTCCCCCAGCCTCAAATTGTACATGGGACTCTCGTTACGAAAGTTCTCCATGACGGAGATCCTTTGGTGGATGGGGGCTGAGAGCTCGACTTTGGCTTGTCGTATTTCAACTCATGCACATTCTCCCAATACTGCCTGGGAACTGTAGTATAGTGTAAATTAGGCCAGTGAAGGAGTGTTGTGTGAGATGCAGACAGAACTGAGCTATTGTTCTTTAATGCGCCGTGTTAATTTTAAGATCTCAAGTCAGCTTCAGCTCTCCAGAATGGAAGACGCCATTTCTGACGGTGTCTGAGGCTCCCAAACTCAACTGCTGGGCCAGGGGAATACTTGTGTGTGGAAGCACACAAGAAAGTCTCTGGCTCAAAATGTATCATATTATCAGTTCTGAATGCGTGAGAGTCTGAGAATGAGCCTGCCAGTGGGTCAGATGAGTATTATAGGCATCAGAGTCCCTGTTGGTGATGGAGTTGGGCTGGAATGTGGCGGATGGCCGGGTATTGCTTGGCTTGCGGCAGAATCTGGAGTTGCCTGACATTTCAGATGCTGAAGGGACTCTTGGTGTGGGATCCAAGCAGTTTTCTGTTGATGGCGAAAGGGGGAAGCGGTCCCCTTTGGCTCCCCAAAAGGCTATGCGGAGGATCACGGGGCCTGCGTGGACAAAAGTCTTGTGAGACGGGGACTGTAATAGCCACCGCGTTAAGCACATGTGATACGGCTGTAATGGAGTGAAAAAGCTGGCTGGATCTAACAGTGTGACAAAACTAGTTTTACTGGTTAGACCAATAAAATACTTGTCAGTTGGCAACTCAAAAGTGGAATGGTGCTCAGGAATTTTCCACCTGCAATTTGAATACTTTTTTTAAAAGGAGAGCGTGGCAGTAAAGCGTGATCCAGGGCAATCTTTATAATAAGCAGCAACTGATTACCGTTTATTAAACAAGCCGCCCAGCTTTTAACCAGGATTGTCCTATATTATTTCGTGGAAATTGGAGTGCAGTATTGGAAACGAGGGCTTAGTTTTTCTTTAGTCAAAGGACCAAAGAGCAAAGAAGATAACTTGCCCTGTGGGTTAATACTGAGGCATTGTGAAAGTTTACAAAGTAAATTACCCAAACTGGTTTAAACGAGTTTTCTGGGCACAAAGGATCCCAAAGAGAAGAACAAGGAAATCCAGTTTTTGGCGATCAAGGAGGCATTTTCCCAGTTGCTCTTTCTTTTTGGTGGGGGGGGGGGGAGATATGTGTGTATAACTGAATTCAGACACAGGGTTTTGTTTTTTTAAATGTGTAAATACATCTGTGATGGAAAGTTCCTTCCTCGTCAAAGACTATAGAATGCATAAAATAAGGTGCAGGAGGAAGATCTGCAGTAATTGTGAAATCTTAATTTTAAAATGTATGGGTCCCCCCCCCCCTTTACGTTTCATAGTACTTATCTTTGCCTTTGTAAAATGAGGTTTGATAGCGTTTCTCTCCTGTGTCCTTTACACAAATCGATGGTAGAGAGGAGAGGAAGCAGCAGAGGAATCAAAACTCTGTGGCCCCAATCCAACTCAGCAGGTCCTCGCGCTTCTCACTTGCTGGATGTGAAAGGTTGGGACTCAGCGTGCATTCGAGCGCACGGCCGAGTCTGGCTTCAGTGCGGCGCTTTTCAAGGAGACACGTTTGCTTTCTGGAGCAACGAGCCGTGTGCAGAAGGCTTTCTAAAATCGTGTGTAGGGTTGGACGACAGACATATCTGTGATACCGTATAAAGCAGTGATGGGAAACCGTGATTATGTTCTTAGGACAAAAGCTCCAGGGAATTTTGTAAAGCTTGTAGGAGTCTAGTTTAGGCATCCCTGGATGGCGACTTGTCAGTGATCCAGGGATGAGGGGAGCCTCCGTGCCCGTAATTCTTAACACCACCTCCACCTTCGGCGTCGCCTTCTTCCCTTCTCTAGCTGCTTTCTGGACGCCAGGTTCCAGGGTACGCTTATTCCAGCCTGTTCTTTTTGCAAGTATTAGCAGGGGCCGCGAGCAAGTAGGGTTGCCAGCTGAGAGATCTCCCGGGATTACAACTGAGCTCCAGGCAACAGAGATCAGTTCCCCTGAAGAAAATGGCTGCTTTGGAAAGTGGCATCATACCCCATTGAAGTCCCTCCCCTCCCCAAACCCCACCCTCCTCAGACGCCACCCGAGAGTTGCCAGGTCGTAAATAATCCGCAGCGGGGGACTCCTGACTTCCTCCGGGAGCGTGTGCGCGAAGCGCGTGCCCCCCGCAAGCACGTCACCCGGAAGTGACTCGGGCGCACCAGGGACGGGGCTGCGGTCATCCGAGGGAAAACAAAGAGTTTTCCCTCAGATGACCGCGCCCCCGCCCCCGGCGCGCCCGGCGTGGCTGTGCTGACGCCAGGCATGTCCCGTGCTTTGGGGGTGGGGTGCCCCCCGGGGCCCGATCCGCCGGCAGCGGGGAACGTGCATCTTGGGCGGGGGTTTCCCCGGCTCCCAGGGGGACTTGGTACGCCTACTCCACCCACCCCCAAATCTCCAGGTATTCCCCAACCGGACCTGCCAATTTAATAGCAAGCAAATGCCCTCTTGGGCCTGAGGTCAAATGTCTCTGGCCTTTGCTTGTTCCTGTTTCTATGGTAATTTATTTATTTATTTACTATCAAATTTGTACCCCGCCCTCCCTGCAAAGCAGGCTCAGGGCGGCTTCCAAGAAGACATATATACAACTTAAAAACACAATTATTAGAAACACCACAAATCAACAGGCATAAAGTGCTGGTGGCAATTAAAAGTCACTGAGATGACACATTTTCAGTGGATTTCCATTTCCCAGTGTTCTAAGGTGTTTTCCTGCTCGTAGTTTCCTTAATGCAACAACTCGCTGGTGGCTCATGGGCCAGGTGCTGCAACAGTCAGGCGGTCCAATGGTGGCAGCCCCTAATTGAATGCCTGGCGGAAGAGCTCCGTCTTACAGGCCCTGCGGAACTGAGAGAGGTCCCGCGGGGTCCTGATCTCCTCCGGGAGCTCATTCCACCAGGTAGGGGCCGCCACCGAAAAGGCCCCGGCCCTAGTGGCAGCTAGCCTGGCCTCCCTCGGTAATGCTATTTTGAAATATGCCCCCGTGATGCATGATGGTCAGGTGTGATGGGTTCTAAGTGTTCGGAAACTGCAAGGCCTGAGCAAGAACTTGCATAGGTTACAGCTGGGCCTGAGTTTATCCCACGTCACCCAAGCTGTGTTACGTGTAGGTCTCGGAACCTGCATTGGAAACTGTATGAAGGTTCTGGATTGGCTGGACTTGGAAGAAATACCAGGAGTCCCACATTTTTTTCCTTTTTTTCTTGTGCTCATCTGGAGAGTTCTGCAGTTCATAGTCTGTCTCTAGGCTTAATCTCAGGTGATACCAGTACCTAGACTTGCCCGATCTCCTGGAGACCAGTTGTGAACAGTGGGTTACCCACTGTTGTTGGCACCTGGATGTTGGCAACCCACCTGGATGTTGGCAACTCTAACTGTTTCTCCATGTGCAATAGTCTCTGGCGAGTGATGGATTCACACACACCATCTTCCACCTGCAGTGGGGAATGTGAGAACAGACACAAACATTTCTAAGGCGAGGGCTCTCCGTTTGGGTTAGCTAAGCATTCTGGGTTTCCTCGGGCTACACCCAAGTCGTATTGGGCGGCATCTAGTTGTAAGTCAGAGTTTATGTCTCACAGAATGCGAAACGGTCAGCATTTTGTCAATTTGAGTGCTTCAACTTCTACTGAAATAGTTTGGCAGAGGAGAGTGGCGTTGTGGGGAAAATCCTGGGCTTTGATTCGGGAGATCGAGAATCAAACTCCCATTCAGGTGTGAATCTTCCTGAGTGATTTTATCCATTCCCTCTCAGCCTACCCTACAAGGGTGTCACCTTCCGGGAGGAAAAAAAAATGTCCTGACCCTTAAATTGACATGTTATTTACCAGGTGATGTTATTTACCTCCGTGCCATGAAAAGCTTCAGCCGGCCACCTGTCCACATGAAGCGTCTATTAAAGGCACAGGCTATTTTTCTTCTGTTGGCACCCCTGCCGCCCTACCTCACAGGGTTGTCGCGATGTTAATGGGATAATCCCCAGGATGACCACGTCAGACTCCTTAGCTGGAGGGTAATAGAGAACTGAGAACGGCGAGAGCTGGATAATATTTGAATAATGAATGCATTTAAAAGATTGACTGGCTGCTATAGTTAGTGCTGCATTTGCATTTTGTGAAGTTGTGAACTTGTCAAATCTAATTTCATTCCAGGGATTTTGTTGTGTTGTGACCTCCTCTTTTTAATGTCTTCACTAGGCATGACGTTTCTAATAACCTAGCCGACAGACACTGCAGATGGTGCATAAGGGCAAAGTAGACATGACAGGGGGTCGCGGAAGCTCCATCAACAGTCTGTATAAAAGTAAATTGTGTCCAGGCGTGCAGCCGTAATGTGGATCAGGGCCAGATGGGAAGGAAAAGAGGGAACAAACATTTCCAGCCTCTGTTGGTTTTGCGAACTGAAATCCGTTCCCGGTAGATCACTGTAAGAACGTAAGAATTTTAAGAGAAGCCAGTGTTGGATCAGGCCATTGGCCCATCCAGTC